TATTTATCTTTATGTTGAGTAACTAGTGTGTTCAATAGGTGTGATAGGTGTGATTTTCTAAACCAGGTAAAAGAACTAGAATATCAGATGCTAATATTCACAGTAAACAGAATCTGCTGGCTCGTAAAAATGTGACACACATTTCTACCAAATAATAAAGGATTGTAATAGACGTTTTATCATCTATGGGATATTGTAGCAAGAGCCAAATCTTACAAAGGTAAATGATATAGACATAATTAGTTACTATAAAAACCCTTAAATAATTCTATGTTATTAAACAAAAGAAATGAATTGGTGGTTAAGTGTAGGCATAAAAAAAATATCTGCTTAAATACGTTGATCCAGATAGCGTAAATTACAGATTTTTTAAGAGAATACGTAATCTCCGTTTATGCTTAATACATAAAAATATTAATATTCACAACTTTAAAACATTTTTTTATATATATATATATATATATATATATATATATATATATATACAAATCCCGTTTATTTTAAATGCCAAATGCATTTTTAATATTAAAAACTGTAATTCCAGTATAATATTTAACTGCTCCAACATTGCTATAACCAGATATTTTTAAAATTTAAATTGCGTAACGTCCAGTGCTTTTGTGCATGAAACTCCGGACTGTGCTATCGGGGACGGATATATATATATATATATATATATGTGTGTGTGTGTGTGTGTGTGTGTAATTTTTAAATATGCATTTAAGGTGAAGGTGACACTCAAATGTTAAGGAGTTGGCATCTAACTGCAGCCAGACATTAACTTACGACTAATAAAAATGGTTACAATAAATTTACATAATTTGCAAGCATAGAAAATATGATGATGGTGGTCTAAAGAAAAGAAATAGAAATATCATTTGGTACACACCCCAATGTGTGTGTGTGTGTGGATAGGTTGATAGATACGATGATAACGCTTCCAACGTTCGTAACAATTAATTAAAAAGGTGGCTCAATACACAATAGAACAATAATATTTAATTTGGGATATTACAATAAAAACATGTAAGAATCGCTACACAATTGCAATCGTGTTTCATCGCATAACAATATGTCTCCTCGTGCGATTGTATATTCCTGGCAATTAATTTGGTTTCAAAAGCAAAATACATTCAGTTTTGTTTTTTGTTTAAAAAAAAAAATAGAAATTATTATCTTAGAAATGATACCTGGCCAGGAGTTGGCATCTAACTGCAGCCAGACATTAACTTACGACTAATAAAAATGGTTACAATAAATTTACATAATTTGCAAGTATAGAAAATATGATGATGGTGGTCTAAAGAAAAGAAATAGAAATATCATTTGGTACACACCCCTATTTAACCAAATGGTCAGTACTAAGATAAGTCAGAAGTTTCTTCCTTTTAATTGATAAACATTTTCTAAAAAGTAACCCTATTAGTAAAATATTTATCAGAAACACCATAAAACTAAGTTATAGCCGCACTAATATTCTTGAGAAGATTATAAAGTTGCAAAATAATGGCATTTTAAACCAATTAAATAATCTAGATCGTAATGCACGTTACAAGATAAATATTAATGATACTAGTCAATGTTATTGTAGGAATTCAAACCAATGCACATTTTGTAAACAAATGCTTAACTAAATCTCTTGTTAAACAAAGTACTATTTTTACAATAGAGAATTCAACTGTTGAAAAATTCTATATTGGTAGTACTAGGAATTGTTTTAAGACTATGTGGTATCAACATATCTTGTCCTTCACCAGTGATACTTATAGAAATAATACATCGCTTTCTAAATAATTTTGGAGTTTAAAAGATGGTAATGAAACTCCTAAGGTGAAATAGAAAATTTAAAAAGTGCTTAGGACAAGTAGATACCGTTTTCTGTATTTATATGGAAAATTAGAAATTATCAGGTTCTTTGATAAAAAATACCTTATTAAATGAAAGATCTGAATTAAAACTAAATTGTATTCACTTTCTACCTTTTATCTTACAATTCAGATAAAATTTTGAATTTGACAACGATTTGCTTAGATTTTGAACTGTGTTGCACCATTTATGGCCTATCTTTCTATTTGTATGATTAATTTGGGTTTAATTTAGTTCTGTATTGATCTCCTGGTAGTATTATTAACATCTTATACGAATATATTGATATTTAGTTAGTATTTTTGACATTTTATATTGATTGGATAATATTATTAATCGCTCGCCATATGGAGGATATTTATTTAAAGGTTGCATATTATTTACCAAATAATTCTATATATTTAGATTATTTACTAGTTTCTTAAAGAGGTCTCTTATTTATAAACTAGAAAAAAGATGTAGGAAATTCACAAAGCATATAACTAGCTGGGCATTCGCTTAAATTACCTCTCTAACCACCCCCTGCTTTTATTTGTTATGAAAGTTGACTGTCTGACAAGTGTGTATTTATTGTAAAAATCTGTATCAGTCTTTAAGTTAATATCTGGCTGCTGTTAGATGCCAACTCCTGGTCATAACATATTTCTAAGATAATAATTTCTATTTTTTGTTTTCCTTTTTCGCTTAGTTTGAATATAATGTAGGTCATATTCGGTTGGTTGATCAGGGTAAAGCCCTCAAGACTCATATCTAAAAAAAAGAGGATGTATTTTGTTTTTGAAACCAAATTAATCATTCATTCCCCAATCGCCGAAGGAGACGCATTGTTATACGTAGAAACACGACTGCAATCAATTGTGCAGCGATTCTTACATGTTTTTGTAGTATCCTTAAATATATATATGTGTGTGTGTGTGTGTGTGTGTGTGTGTGTGTGTGTGTGTGTGTGTGTGTGTGTGTTTGTAAAAATGTCAGATAAGTACAAAATGAATAAAGACAAAATTAAAACTTATCTTCGCCGATGCCTTTAGTCCTCTGATGGATTTTATCGCATAATAATAATAATAATAATAATAATAATAATAATAATAATAATGGACTCTCCCGTCGATTTTGTCTTATGAGAATCTGACAACTTATTGATTCAGTTATGAAAGTTTGTGCGGTAGTCTTAAGCGGCATTTAAGACCCGTTAGTGATTTACAAAGGAAACGACATATGGAGCAAATGTAAGGATTGTGATATGAGATCACAATTAGATTGGCTGACCTTTTAGATATTGCTCTCGCTTCTTGAAGATGATTCAGACAAGCAGATTGAAAATTGCTGAGTCCACTAAAACACGTTGATCTCCATTCTACCCGCTCCAAAGCTAAGCGCTCAAGGGTGTTATGTGGTATATTGACTGCTGATAAGTTGCTTTTCAGCTTGTCTTTGTATCCTAGCCTTGGGTGTCCTACGTTCCTGTAGCCCTGATCTAACTGGCTGTACATTAGGATCCTGGGTATCCTGTCATCAGACATTGTCAGGACATGACCAGTCCACCGTAACTGAGACTGTATGATGAAAGTCTCGATTCCTCCAATATTACACCTTTTAAACAGGTCTACGTTAGATGTCCTGTCTTGACGCTTAACTCCACAGATTGCACGCAGACAGCTTTTATGGAAAACTATATATATATATATATATATATATATATATAATTAAGGACAACCTATAAAAAAAATAATATGATGTGTTTCGTACTTTCGGATTTCATCTGTCTAAATGATATTTTCGTTAATGTAAGTACGCAGGCGCACAAAGTGAATGTGACACTCAGATGTTAAACTTTTAAGTTTTTATTTGTCTAATATGTATTTTGTTAATTTTTGTATCACATTTGCTATTAAATATCCCACATTGTGCTAATGGAAGATCTGCCGACAAACGTGAAATTTTGTAACAACCTGGACGTAAATTAACTGTGAGGATTTAGAAATTAAAGCACTTTCTATATACTTTCGTTTTAGTAAATTGCTTTCTCTCTTAAAGTATCATTTTTGTAAATTTATGTTATAGTCAGACTCATTATAGTGGGCGAAATCAGTGTGTTGTCTTGTAAAAGATAATTTTCATGTTCGTATAGTTATTTTAATTTAAATTTCTCGAGCTTTCACCAATGCATAACTTGTGGCAGTTATTACATGTAATAGAATAGAATATTTAGCTTATTATTATTTATTTTATAAAAGTATTTAGCTTATTATTATTTTTCTGCATTAATTAAAACTTTTATTGTTTTATGCTAAGTTTAGTTAAATTATTTTAAATTTTAATTGTTATAGTTTTTGTAGAATAATATATTGTGAATTGTTTATTTCGTCAGAATCATCTACAGTACTTTTCTGGAATATTTTGTGAGCCTTTTGTTTCGTAGGGAATGGAAAATTCTACGAACTAAAATTTGTTTTGCTTATTATTTTTATGCCTTAGACAAAATCAAAATCAATAATAAATCAATCAATATCATATATTCAATAATAATAATAATAATAAGAAGAAGAAGAAGAATGAGGAGGAGGAGGAGGAGGAGGAGGAGGCATAGGATTAGTTCAACTAGGACTGTCTTACAAAACAACAACAATCGGCCTCTAAAGATAGAAATAAAGCTTCAAAAGACTGGATGATGAATTGTGTCAAAGAACATGAAAGAATTAAGAAACTTTATTCAAGTAATAAATGAAGCCAACAATTTCAAAACAGAGTTTCAAGTGGATGAAGTAAAACATTCAAATTCAAGTAAAACATAATACACCTACTGCAGCTTCAAAAAAAACTTTGAAACGAAACCAAAGGCAACTTCCATCGACGAGTTACAGAAACGATAAGAAGATAAACATCTTCAGGGTCAATATTCTGCTCGTACCAAATTCCGTATCTATCAGTGGCTACTTAGTGCAGGGTTTTTATTCTTGTTGCACAAGATTAATGTTTGCTAACTAGAAATTACCAAGAACACATACTAAAATATAAAGTTAGCTTAAAATGCAGATCCTGTGGTTAATATCCAAAAAAAAAAATGACCATCTTGTATCGGATTGCACGGTCTTGGCACCCACTGAATATAAAACCCGGAATGACATAGTGGACCAATATTTGCATTTGAATATCTGCAACTTTTACGGAAAGTAAATTGATATGAACACTACCCAGACCCAGTTACGGAGATATTAGGTTGGTGCAAAAATAATAACGTAATAATGTCGTTTTTGACGTTTACGTCAAAAAACGACATTCTTACGTCATTATTTTTGCACCAACCTAATAGATGCTGTAACAACTTAATGGGACTTTAAAATGCACACAGACAAAGCAATCGAAGCTAATCGCCCAGGCATCCTGATCTGAGACCGCAAAAACAAAATCTGCTTTCTTACTGACAGGGCACTCCCTACAGACTGCAGTGTATCTTTGAAGACCTTCAAAAAAAAAAAAAAACTACCAAAATACAAGTGGCATGAAATCGAAGAGATGTGGCACATGAGGACAGCAACAAGCCCAGTTGTAATTGGAGCCCTTGTTTTGATTGGAAAATTTTCAGAGAGACTCAATGAAGGGATTCCTGGTAGCCCGGACCTGTAAGAAATAATAATATAAAAATATATATATTCACAAGTACAGCCCACTCCTAACGAAGGGCTTTACCTATTTAAAATATATGTGATCTTTTATGTTATTTTTCCTCAAAAAATGCTCAGTGGACAATATCATGAGGCCATTTCTGACCTTAGGTTGCGACCCAGAAAAAATGAGCATACACCAGAAATCAAAGGAAATAAAATAATAATGACGAAATTAACCAATTCCTGCATAAAGTTTCCTTAGAAATTTAACCTTTTAGCCTAATCTAAGTTGCCGGCTAATATTAATGTTAGGGTTGAGGATTTAAAATTTTAGGTAACCATCTCTAGAATATTCTGCACCGGAAACTAACGAGTTAAATAGTTTAAATATAATACATTAGTAAGATTTCATTAAACAAAAGGTATGAAGGTTTATGTTATAAAATCCAGTCGAATCTCATGACTCCTCTGATACCCTATCCTCTTGATATGCTGTTTTAGGAATATTCCCAACAAAATGAGAGGAAAGGATCAGTGTTACCTTCTTTCACTTCCCATATTCCCAAATACATTGAACCCACGAAAGTAGTAGTGACTCCCTCCGAAAATAATATGATGTTTGATCTGAGAGTCTCCATCCAATGACGATATCAAAGCTATCTGTATGTAAAAAATCTATTGTGCTATCCTCTCCCATCAATATAGCAAATTTAAACAATATAATGAAAGAGAAAATAGAGAAAAATATATGCGGAAATGCGAGATTCGTTGTCTGCTGAAGATAGAAAAAAAAACTAATGTAGATTAAAATTATTAGTGGCCAGAAATAAGAAAAAATAGTTTGTTATTTTCCAATAAGCATACCTCGTACAAAAAATAAAGACACATTGATTTAGTTTCTCTATTTTAAACTCTTTCATTCCCCCCCCCCCTGTAAACCTCTATCCTGTTGTCGTCTTTCGTGGCTAGCCATTATTATCGGCAGACCGAGAATAAGCGGCAAATATGGGAAGTCCTGAAGACGTTGGTTGATTCATGCCACCGGCGTCCCGAATCATTACGCTTGATTATCGAATTGCAAAACATTTACTTTTCACTCATGTCTCGACAGGATGTGATGTGAAAAGCAAGGGAATCATTATTTTTTTTTTTCAAATAAATGGTGAACGGCTCAGAATACAAAAAAACTGGTAATTTTTTTGTACATTCTTACAACGGAATTGTGAAGTCAAATTTAGCTAACTCGAAACGGATGGACACAGAGTGAAAATAAGAAAGCGAGAGGTATTTTTAACTGTGGTGGGAGAATGATTGATTGATATTTCGGTTATATGATATGTTCAGAACGTGGGTGATCATGGCTCTCCACAAATTTATTGTCTTTGTTTAATTAGTGTCCGCCGATTTTGTCTTTGTTTTCAGTAATGTGAACAAATTCAAATTGCGTTTAAATGATAGGGGGAGGTTTGCATTGTACACATAACAGTAGAATATATGTAAATATATGACTATAGCACAACAACACTTCGATATATATATATATATATATATATATATATATATATATATATATATATATATATATGGATAGATATATAGATAAATAGATGTGTGTTGTGTGGGTGTGCGCGTGTGTACGTGTGTGTTTTAGGGTTATGTGAGTATGTGCTACTGTGTATGCGAGCCTGTGACATGTTATATATGTCCTGTATGTTCATATATATATATATATATATATATATATATATATATATATATATATATATATATATATATATATATATATTAGCTGATTGATGTTATATTTAGTCTCATCCACATCTCGTCTCTAGTTTCATATATTACCTTTTTGCCAATTGTACAATCTACTCTTCAGGTTGTTTTAAAAATTAACTGGCGGTTTTCAGTGCTTACATATATATATATATATATATATATATATGTGTGTGTGTTTGTGTGTGTGTTCTCATCGCCTGATAACCAAGTTTGCGTGAAAACTTTAGCGATTTGAACAGAGTCGCTTTTTATGCGGTATCGTTGGTTAGTGGTTTGAAGTCTCAAATTATTTGGACATTGAGAAATGCCTATATTTGTATAGAAAAGTATCTGTATTTACGTTTGTCTCTTCCTTTCTGTCTACATTAGCTTTACCCTTTTTTCTCGATTTTATTTTTGCTTCCCTTCTTTATTGGTTCACGGTTTTTATTTTCATTTTCTTTTGTTAATTTTAACTACATTACTTTGTCATTTTTTTTTCTTTGGCAGAGTTGCAAGCGATAGTTTTGCCCAAACTTTGTTTTTTTGTTTTTTGTTTTTTTTATATATATATATATATATATATATATATATATATATATATATATCACCTTAGTCGATTTATCAAGAAGGACACTTCATAAGGTTATTGGTCTGGAGGAGGAGGATGACAGCGTACGGCACCTTTGGAAATTTGCCTGAAAACCAAAGCCTTGTGTGTTAAAATTGGGTAGGCGGAACATTTGCGGGCAGTCGATTGATATTCTAGCACGAAAAATCACAAGGCATCGTGAGCGAGGGTTTGCGTGTGCTGGCCATGTTCAAAATGTTGATCACGCTAGATAACACGCTCTCTCTCAGAAACAGTAACTAAGGTCTGCTCAGCATAGTTGCAGTATAAACCGCAGGTGGGCTCTGTGGGTGTTGAACAAACACAAATGTGCTTGAGTCAGCGTCTGCAATAGGGATAGGCTAGCCGCCCTAGAAGACGATTTTTCCTCGAGGGCCAGCTATTATACATACATATATATATATATATATATATATATATATATATATATATATATATATATATATATATATATATATATATATATATATGGGAACACTGGTTTAAACACCCAGCGACGAGATTTAAGAATGAGCCTGTCACCACTGGCTTTTGAGCTCAATGTCCACTTTTATATTTAGATTCTAAGAATTCTGATATTGAGCACATTAAGCCATAATATAACATAGCTTAAAACAATATTTTTATCATAAGCGTATATATATATATATATATATATATATAGTTAATTTACATATGCTTAATACGGCCCGTCAAAAATGTGTCAATTTCTTTTCATTTTTCATTTCAACCTTTGGAAGTAAAATCTGATGATCCAGATCCCTTTAGAAGGGCTGTGGTGAAATAACTTATTACATGGAACCTTAAAGTGGTCTGTTTTTATTCAAATATATATATATATATATATATATATATATATATATATATACCTTTCCCATGTCTATTAGCACATCAGTGAATGTAATGGATACGACTGGAATTTGAATTTAGCTCTCTAGTTATGGGCAAATAGCAGGTCAGACTATGTTCTATAGCCTTGGATGGCAACTCGTCTAGGAAATGGAACAACTCTGAATTCATAACATGCGGGACATTGGTTGCGGTTATTGTGGCCCGTAGTGCCACCGGGTCTCTGTATTCGTCCCTTCAAAAAGTGTGGTTGGTTCTGCACAAAGCCTTCACCACTATAATCAAATCATATGTGCTGGTCTCAGGCTGTCAGTTTCTAAAAACTGAGCTGCTTGACCGTCATACGTCGAATACGACGGGAGAGTCCACTATATATATATACGTATGCACGCCTATATATATATATATATTTATTAAAGACATTTTTATTTTTAACGTTCTTTTTTATAGATACAAGTATTTAAGTAAATTCTCTGTTTATAATAAACAGTATTAAATAACATTTACCGGCCTGAATGTCCCAGAAATTTTTATAGAAAATATTCGTCCTTTGACAGGATTCGAACCTGCATCCTATACGGAACAGTCTTTTACGCTGACGTGCCTTGATCGCTCGGCCGCAAAGGATCGTTCGGTTGCCAAGGTTGAATTTACTGCATATAAACTTCAATCTTCCATGATTCTCGTACATTCATAACTGCTCATGGCGTATCAAATGTAAACAAATGACGTCATATATTAAGAAATGGACAAAGTCCGACAATTTATGTCTTTAATAAATAAATAGTCGGACTTTGTCCATTTCTTAATATATATATATGTATTTTGATTGATCATTCTAGCTTTTGGAACAACTTTTTCCCCTTGTGAAAGATCGTTAACTAATTTGAAACTTTTAAAACCATTTGTTTTGCATTATCACTTGATAAGACACCGGGAGTGTTGAAACAAAATGGCTATTTTTGTAGTGATTTTATAACATGTTTATGTTATAAATTTTCTAAATAAATAATAATATATATATATATATATATATATATATATATATATATATATATATATATAGAGAGAGAGAGAGAGAGAGAGATAGATAGATAGATAGATAGATAGATAGATAGATAGATAGATAGATAGATGAGTCTATATATATATGTATCTGGATAAATGATTTTGACACGTAACTAAATTTTGATACGGAGTTTTCATTTTATAATGTTCAGTGATAAACATGACAGTGAGATTAGCATAAGTTGATGGACGATTTGAAATTCATAAAATCTTTGTCTAAAAAGAATTTTTCATGGAATTAATTTCCTAAATTCCAATAATTTTATCGCTCTTTCTATTATTGATGGTAGTTTTCCTGCATAACGTTTTGTCTAGGGTAGTGTGGAAAGTGAATATTTTCATTATGAGAAATTTTAGACGTTGCTATTTTGGAAAATGTCGACAAGAAACCATATATCGGATACCAAATCAACTTGTAGAATATGTGAAACTGATCTGGAAGTCTCCTTCAAAAGATAGCAGAATACAGTGAAGACTAGTTAGCCACAAGCGAAATAAAACAAGAGGTTAAGTGTTTTGCGTTGTTGAATTAGTGGGCCCATTAGCAATGGTGTCGAGATAACAGTTCAGACATACATTATTTTTTGAAGGCACACTTGGAGCCATGATTCCTGAAGAAGCAAATCACTTTCAGAAAGTTGATGTTCATGCGCAACCGCGTTCCATCACAAAAAGCGCAAAAAATAATATTAGGTTGGTGCAAAAATAATGACGTAATAATGTCGTTTTTGACGTATTTTTAACGCCAAAAACGACATTCTTACGTCATTATTTTTGCACCAACCTAATAACTAAAAAATATGGTTTTCGTTTGACGTGGACTGTTTTACTCTAATTTAACTCAAATAATAATTCGCTTCAGAAAGTGGATCATACATTGTAAATTCATGTTGTCTTCGTAGCTTTGTGGCTTTTATTTCTATAACGACGTCAAATTTTTTATCAAAGATTTTATTTATAAATATTTCACATGGTCTGTCATTATAAATTTTAATTACACTATAATATTTTCGCTGTCGACACTTGGGTTTGAACGCGGACTGCCCACTGCTCACTTTCCAGCTTCGACATAATTCAAAAGCGTATACGCGGCCATGTAGGCGATAATTTATTTCCCACCCTACATCGCCTCTATTTCAGTAGTAATGCTGCTATTTTTGTGTAAAATGTTGTGACGATCATTATTTGCTATTTCCACCCGACTTTCCGGCAAAGATTCGCGATACTATGTACACAACGGCAAACCATCTTCAGCCCCTTCGCACTCAATTGGTTATAAGGAAGTTCTATTTGAACAGCTTCTTTCCAAGAGTAGCTTCTTTATGGAAGAAACTC